TTTTTCTATATTTATTGAACTATTCAAAATTGAATTGTTTTATATAAACACAGCTAATATACGGGTATAAAAATAGAACTGGGTGTACTCATCAATGTAAACAAAATACCTACATAAGTATATCATGTATATAGCCATAAAATATACAGTTTTATTTCTGTGAAAACTTATAGACAAATAAATAAAAAAAAATATGCAAATATACCAAACTAATACAAAAAAAATAAATAAAGAAAAAAAGGACACAAACTTTTTTATTGCCAACCCTTATTTCGCAAATAATTAAAATCTCTGACCGTGTTTTGTATTTTCCTGCCTGTTCGCAAAGTATACTCACATACGTGTATACATACAAAGATAAATTGTTTTGCTATACAAATATTTTACATTTCCAATTAATAGTCTAAGAAGTTGTGATCTGTTTGTTTTCTTCCATTTTTTTTGCGTTTAAAATTGAAAATGATATTATTTTAAAAAATTATTTTTATACTTTTGTACATGCATAGGTACATAATCTGTAAACATACAATATACGTTCATTTAATTCAATCTGATTCAATATAAAATGTACATACACGTATTCAAAATTACTTATATAAGAAGTACGTACTTTTTAAACCAGATGACGTTAGCAAAACTTTCAAAAAAAAAAAAAAACAGAAAGAAAAGAAAAAAAAAAGCTAACACTTGCAAAATAATACCAAAGTCCTCTACAATACGAACAACGAATAGTCCACACGCAAGAGAAAGAAAATGACAAAGAAAAAGTTCAAGAAAAATATATTCAAAATAGAACAGAAAAATAAAAAACAATATATTAAAAAAAACTTATATACAACTGTCCTCAAAAAATTTTACCAATTATATACCATGTATATAACATTATTAGGTACATCTAGTACATTTTATATTATTTCTTATATAAATTAAAATTTATATTATATTTCTTTACATATCCATATACATACATACGTACGTATACATACATATATGCAAACATTATATACATATTTTAATGAATATTAGTTGTATTTGTTTGAACAAAATTAATAATTTTTTTTTCTTATTTTCTTGTTGTATAACACACAAAAATTTAAAAGATGATACGTAAATTCGCAAAAAATATTATATATGTACATACTTTAATTTTGTATGATTACTGTTATTATTATTATTTTTTGTTATTTTCGAGTTTTCTACATGTTTTTTTTTTCATAATACCAATAATAACTTTTATACAATAGTATTTTCCTTTTATATGTTATGAAACACAAAAAAAAAGTTCGATACAAAAATTTAACAGAATAGAAAATTTTTATTTTATAAAACTTATAGCCCAGCAACTTCCTAAAAAACTCTCCCCTTTTTTATACATTGAAAATAACAACAAAATATAAAATATAATATTGAATTATTTCTTTAAAAGCTTTCTATTGTTATATACCCCATAAATGTAGGGTATATAAAAATACTACAAAAAAAAAAATTAAATAGGTAAATAAAATATATGTACCTATAAGTTAAAAAAAATTTCACACACATATTCGAAGGCGAAGTTTTTGTGTTTCTACATATACGTATATGTATATATTTTACTATGTGTACAAATGTATACAAAAATATATTAAAAAGTATCTAAACTTTTGTATATAAGCATTTTATTTACAGACAAAATAGCAAAAAAAAAAAAAATTATCTTTTATAGCAAAATATAAGAGAAATTTTTGAATTATGTATTTTATTGCTTTTTGCCTAGTTTAGTGAATGTAAGGGATATATCAACAAAATTTGTTATATACATTGCGTATATTAATGGATAGGGGCATATAACAAGTTAATATCAAATATAGTATACATATATAAAAAACTGAATTCATAAAACTTTTATTATTTTCACACACAAATAAAATATCTTCAAAATTATTGTATAAGCAACTGAACGGCTAAGTATATAAAAGAGTTTAAAGTATAACAATGATAAAAATATTGTGTATTTGTGGTGTAAATATATAATAGAGAATTAGGGGTTTTTAATTTAATATCAGCTGATTATAATAATTTTTATTATGGGGAGAAAATATAATGTTTGATTTTCTTTTGTATTCTTCTTCTTCTTAAACAATTCTGTTCTACGGACATATGAGTGTCTGTATTTATTTAGGTAAATACATATATTTATATATTTGTATTATATAGTAAATATTTTATTTATTTATATATATATATATATAAATAATATATAACATACATACATATATATGTATTTAATTATTAAATAATTAAATAGTATAATTATTTTATTTAAATGCAAAATAGATACTTAATACATATACATATAAAACACTGTATAACAATATGAACCATTTTCCGTTTTCATTTTAATATTTCTAATAGATTCAGTTAGTTACTTGATAAAATGATAAAAAATTAAAAAATAAGAACATACATATATTGTAAGTATAACAATATGTAAGAACATACTAAGTTATATTTTACTATTAGGACGTATAATATGTATACATATATAGTTTTCGTATTCACATATTACATATTATTGCATATTATGGTTTATAAGATAAACTAAATACTGGTATATTTACTTACTATATATATAATGTTATACATACATATATTAGTAGATTACATATATTAGTAGTTTTTTATATTTATAGAATTAATTTCATAATAAGTATGTACATTAATATGTTTGTATGTAATATTTGTATATTTTGAAAATTAAAAAAAAAAAATTTAGAAAATATTTCAAATGAATTGTGACGTCACAAAGAATCAATTTTTTTTATTTGCTTTTTTTTTAATTAAAATTTGTTTAAATAAAAGAATTATATGATAAAAAAAAAACCGGATTATAATCTTATTTATACATATATACATATGCATATTATGTATACATGTGTACATATACATATACATTACAAAAAATATTTTTGTTATAATTTTTATAAGGAAAAAGAAATGTACATATGTATGTATGTGGGTATGTATAAACAGGCAGTGCCCAAATAACTTACAAATATGTAATATAACAGTAACTCAATGTTTATAACGGAAGAGAGGTTTGCATATATATACATATATATACTTACCAATAGATCATACATTATTCCCATTTAACTTAATAAGTATGTACTCTCTTTGGGAAATACAGTAGAATCTGTATATAACAAACAATTAAAATCTCAAATTTTTATTGTAATTTAGAGAAATCGAAATAAATGGAATCTGGTTAGTAAGATAATAAATGTTGTATTGCTAAACAAATTGTTTTATAAATATGAGTTTGTTGATTGTTAAATGTAGGTAGTGAGCATTCTTTGTATATTGAGAGAATATATGTATAAAGTATGCATACAGAATTGTTTATTAGAAATTAAGAGAGTATTAAACTTAATAGATTTTTAAATTAAATTTCAATTGAAATAACTACATACGTATATGCAAACAAATATGTATAATTTGACATTATAACTGTAAATATGAAATGTAAAAACTGTATTTTTTTACACGTATGCTTATATACACATGTATACATGCATATAAATGCAGAATTTTAATTATTTTCATTTCGTTTTTATTTAATCACCATAATTTACTATCATTATCATTTATAATATTTTTTTATCTATTGTCATTATCATATATAATTTTATTTAATTAAATATGACAAGACTGTTTGTCGATTTACATTATTCATCGTATTGAAAAATTTTCTCTTTATTTAACATCTATTTTTCAAATGAACTCCGAGAGAGGGATATATACATATGTATAGAGAGAGAAAGAGAGAAAGAGAGAAAGAGAGAGAAAAAGAGGGAAAGAATTTATACATAGCATAGTAATCGTACTGTATGTATAAATGATATAAAGTATGTATAGCAAAGAGAGTGTAAAAATGAAATTTAAAGCTTTCAAAACTGACTTCTGTAAATCAACGTAAGTACAGGATGGTATAAAAAAATTTTTTTTTTTTGGAAATCGTCATAGATCGTATAAAAGTTAAAGATTATTTCACTTTTTCAATTTGTCAAAAATCGGCGATCAATTATTTGACAGTTGTCAATTGTGATGTAGTTATGTACATATAATTATTAATTTTTGTAGATAGCAAAAATTTACAGAATTTTAGAATTTCATTAAAAGTAGTTAATAAATTTTAACAATTTTAATTTTATATAAGCATTTTTTTTTTTAAATTTCACATATTTTTAATTAATTTTACATTAAATTATTAATATGTATGTATGTATGTATACAATTCTAAAAATTGGTAAATTAAAAAAAAAATCATAAAGTTTTTTTTATTTTAATACACTTATGTAAATTCTCGTACACAACAGAAGTATGTATATACGATATAGATAATAAGTAGGTACATAAATTAAATTGTATAGGTTATAATTGTATGTACATATTGTATGTATAACCATACAATTTTTTTATTCATAAGTATAGTTATTTATCGTCATAGATTATTGAACTTTTGATTATTATCTATAAGTATATCATTATATGATATGGTACTCGTAAAGTATTCATAATATATATTTACTAATACCCATTATATAGATTGAGTATATTATATGTACATATTATTGTGATATATTTAACATTATTACCGTATATATGTATATATGTATATGTATGTATATTGTACATTTTATATTAAATATTTTATAGTTAGGTCAATTTTTATTAATAGAGAAATATTAAATATACAAATTTTATGTTGTTTGTATACTCACATAAATATAAATACAACTTACATGTACATACGTATGTATATGCATTAATCAATTATAAAATTTTATTTACTGTTTTCGTATTCTTGTACATACATTCATGCATATACCTACATATTATATTAATTTATAAGATAAAGAAATTATTTTATGTAATTAATAATTACTTAGTATGTATATATGAAAATTATTAATATGCATAAATAAATAAAAATAATTAAATGTTGTAAATTTAATTACCACTTATGATTTCCAAATTATAAAATTGTTTGAAATTAATGATTTTTTTGTGTGCTTTTTGTTCCCAAAAATTTGCTCTCCGTCAGTGTTCCATATATGCGTGTTTATATACATATTAACTAAGGACAATATCATTTTATCATCATAATCATCATCACCATCATTACTACCATCATCATCATGTACAAATATCATTGAACCCATTTATACATTTATTTTTTGTTTTTTTTTTTTGAAAGTTTTTACTCATTGTTCTTCCACATTTTTGTGCTCACTTTTATACCACACACACATTTCTTTCACTTTTTTTTATATTGTATTAATTTTTTTTTTTTTCAGCAAAATTTCAATTAAATTTTTAAGTTTTTTGAAAATTAAAATTATAATGTTTTGTTCCTAAAAATCAGTTTTACTCTTTAGTTATAGTTTCCTGTTTTTTTTTTGTATATTGTTATACTTATTGATATTGAGTGTTTTTCTTTTTGATTAAATTATAAAATTTCACCTATTTAAATTTACTTTAATTAGAGCTACATATACATATATACACTTATAAAATGTGAACTATATATATATATATATATGTCTTAATATACAATACAACATGGATATATCCATATCATAAAATATATAAAGATTCATATAGATATATGTATTTTACCACTCATATTCAACATTATAGAATTATAATATCTAATATTATGCACGTATAATATATAAGTACATATATATATATATATATATATATATTTATATATATATTTATATATATATGTTTATAAATATATATAAATATATATATATATATATTTATTTATAAATTTATTATAACAATATAATAATAATTATGTATCTATAGATAAAATCTGAAAGCTATAATTAGCCTAGATTAAGATTATTAATATATACAATGTACATGCATATTCATACATATATATCCATTTACAATATATGTATTAAAAGTTCATACCAATATGATAATTTTCTTCTTTCTCTTAAAACACCTTAATTTTTTTTTTGTTTTGATTTCGTTTCTTTTTTATTTTTTTTTTTTTTGCTGTTATACACGTATCCACATATATATGAATTTCAGCATTTCATATATGTAATTAAGATATATACATATGTATGTATGTATATAGGTATATAAAAAAAGTCTGTTCAATTCTTTGATATTTTTTCTTGTTTTTTAGCAAAAAGGAAAAAAAAGAATTTTAATTCTTTTTTTCGTATTTTTCTTGTTACTGTTTTTTTTATCGTTTATAAGGAAATATATAAATACATACATACATACTTACATGCATATGAATATATACAATGTCTGGATATAAATGTATATCAAATGTTCATTATATAATCATTGAGTTTATAAAAAAAACAAAAAATAAAATAAAAAAAAAAAAAAAAAAAAAAAAAACAAAAATTTTTTTTGTTGTTGCTGCTTCTTTACTTCGCAAAATAAAGCTTAAATTTTCCATTATTTTCTGTTTTGTTTTCTTTTTTTTTTTATTTCGCGAATTTTTTTCGCTGTTCTATTTTAATTTTTTTTGCTAATTTTTTTTTTTTTTTTAGTTTTGCTAATTTTTTTTTGCTAAAAATTTTTAATTGTCGCTCAGTCATCTTTTGACATGTAGTAAATACATATATTTGTATATGTATATATATATAAATATATATATATATATATGCATATGTGTATAGTTTATGTATTCGAATATGAATTATGAATTCCGCTCCATATACATGAGTATATAAAATATTTCATATTTAAGTGGATATTATAAGCAAATATACCGCTATACACACATACATATATATATATAATGTATAAGAATATAAGTACCGCTATATATACATCATGTACATATTCTCTATTCAATATAAATCCAATTGTATATACGTGCACTACATTCATATATACGAGTAGTGTGAACAAACTTTTTTTTCCAAATTTTTTTAATATTGTTTAAATTTTAAATTAGAGAGACAGTTAGGTAAAATATGTACATATGTACAGTATATATGCAGTCAATTTAAAATAGATATATGGATGTATATGATATAATATATAAACATGTGTATATAGCAAGTACTAACGTACATAATATATAAAATAAATTTTTTAAATTTAAAATTTATAAAAAATTATTATATTTAACTATATGTTTATTATATATAAATATGCATGTACATGGATATATTTATATACGCATATATACACGCATATGTATGTACATTTGTATGTAAATCAACTGACCTATTTTAATTAATTTATTTATTTATTTTAATTGATTAACTTTTTAATAAGTATTTTTCTTTTTAATTTTTTATATTTCTTTTGTTTTTCTATATATTAATTAGATTCAATTATTGAAAACGTCCTCATTTTATATTTTACACTTATACATACATATATCTAAATATATGTATGTATATACGTGTGTACGTATGTTCATAATTATATTTCATTTTTCATTATCAGCACAAAAATATACGGAACTTATTATTAATGTTTATTTTTAATATTAACATACATATGTATATACATACATATGTATATAAAAATTGGCATATATGTATGCATATATGTATGGATTTATTTATATATTTTGAATATATATATATATAAATATATAATTAATATATATATATATGTATATATATATATATATACATATGTATACCCTATTTCATTTGTACTTCTTTAATAAATGTCTGGATATTAATTTTAAATACATTAAAATATACTTACATACATATGTGGAAATTATATACATACATATGTATATAGCTATATACGTAAGTTCAAAGAATGTACAAATAATTTTTTTTTAACTTATGTACTTATTTTACTTTAAATGTACTTATATGTAAGTAATTTAAATAACACTACTAACATTGAAAAATAATTTTTTTTTATATTTCATTTCTGATATTTTTATTTCCTTTTTTTTTTTTTTAATAATTTCAATTTCTTTTTTTTTTTTTTCCTTGCTAATATATCACGCTATAATATTTTCACGACAAAATTCCATCATCAACTAAATAAAATCAATCCGTAACAAATTATACTAACATAACAGCACACATTGTTGTAGAATGTAGAGAGCTGGCTAACTGAACTGACTGGCTGAGTGATTTTGCTGACTTGCTGGCAGCTTAAGGCAACTATTTTTTTTCTGTTCTTTTCGTTTTCATTTGTTGTCATTTTTCTCTTTATTTCTTTTACATTTGTTTTTCTTACTTCTTTTTGTTATACTTTTTATTTTCATTATTATTATATTAAACATTTTCTTATTTATTATTATTGTGTTTATAACAAAAAAAAAAAAACACAACTGGAAAAAAAAATATTTTCCCCACAGTGGCTCTGTTACAAAATATACAAAAGTTATCTACATTTTTATTATTATATGTATAATAATATTAATAATAAAACACCAACAACATGTATATAACATAGAAATTTTAAAGCTTAAAATATTATAACATATAACATATAACATATACATATAAACGTACAAAATTTTTATAACATAACATTATCGTAAATGTGTGAATAGAGAATCAAAAGCAAAAAATTTTTAAATAACATAAAATAACTATATAAAAAAAAAGCAAGAGAAGAAATAAAAATATTATAAAAATTTCCTAAAGTCACAAAATTCAAAAATAAGAAAAAAACAAAACAAATACCGAATATAAGAGACGTCTTTATATACCAGACAATTATTATATACATAATTTTTATATACACAATTTACGTAAATACTCTTATAAAATGTTAATAAATACTCTAAAATAAATACAATAATAAAAATAACATTTATGACACAAAAAGAGAACACAATAAGAAAATAAAAAAAAAAATATCGCACAAATACGACGACTCAGCTCCCTTTAAACATTTTTTGTTGTTTTGTTATTTTTTTTTTTGTTATAATCATACAGCTCGTATCAGATCACCATTTTATATTGTACAATACGTTCGGTTATACATACTCGTATATCATCAACATCATCATAATATTTTATTATTTATACATACATATGTATAAATAATATCATATTATAATAAAAATATTTAGAACAGAAACCGAACTATGTATTATGATAGAATTAAAGCAAATATTTAAAGTAAAAAAAAAATCAAGCAAAATAAAATTTATTGCATACTTCCATACATACATTCATATTAAAAATTATAATAAACCTATTTAAATAAGAAATTTATTTTACTTTTTGGTTTTTGTTTTTTTTTTTCTTTTGGCTCAGAATAAAATCAGAGTTCATCTTCTACTAATAACTAAAATTACTTAACTGGCGAGTAGTAGGGAACTATAATTATTGCATATGCTCATACAATATGTGTATATGTACATATACTATACTCTCCCTCAACACAACACACAGTAGAAAAATAACGATATAACAAAATGAAACGATACAAGGCTACATTCATAAAAAGTTATAAAAATAACGGTGAGAAAAGAAAAATCATAATAAAGTAATAAAAAATAACAAAATAATAAGAAATTTATTAAAAAAAAAAAAAATTTATATATAATGACAGAAATTCACTCGCATATACATATACTCAACTCAGTCAACACATAGTCTTGTATTCTTGTATAATCTACTACATATTGTTTAAAACGTAAGAACAGCGCAAATTGTTATAAAAATAAGAAGGAAAATTCTTCTTTTTTATGTCAGTCAGTCACAATAAAATTAAACAAAAACATTTATTATGAATTCTTCATCGGAATAGTTTACTGTCATGAATGTCAAATAACTTTTATAATACTTGTATAACAATATTAATTTTACTGTAAACAACAAATAATTATATTTTCTCTTTCTAACACAATAAAAATGTCTGATTTCAAAATTAATGTCTTTAATGTCAAAATAATATTATTGTGGATATCAATTAAATAAGTTAAAACATTATTTTTTATAAAAATTTTTAGGCAAGTCTTGTATTTTAAGTAAATTAATGATAATTATGAAACATACATAATTTAAATTTTTCATATTCTCATTCACAATTTTTCAGTATAATATTCCAAATATATCATTTTTAATTCATTATATATGATTTTTTTTGTAATACATTCAAACATACATACATTATTTAACAATACATATGCACAAGGTCGGAGAATTTCTTTTAAATTTATCTTTTATTATATTTTCATATTTTGCTTTTGTTCTTATTATTTTATTAATTTTATCATTTAAATGCATACATATAAGACTTTATATACTTAAAATATTTCATATACTTATGTGTTATAAATATACAATTTGAAATTGAAAATATTAAAAAATTTACTCGAATGTATGTTGAAACAGTAAATACTTTGATGATACTAACACAAAAAAAACAAACTTAATATAAAAGTTTTCT